GCATGACTTGTTGAGTTGCTAAGTCTCTTCTGGCTCTAACTCAGCACCACTCTCCCAGCCAGGTTGTGGCTGAGCCAGGACCAGGGCAGGTGTCTTGACTCCTGGTCTACAGTCCTTAACTCTGACCCATTGCTCTGGTTACATCAGGAAGTGTGGGAACCAAGGGTGGGGTCTCCTACACTAAGAAGTCATTGCACTGCCTCCTAGTCCTTGACTTTCTAAAGAATTACAGCCACCTGCCCGGAGTTTACCAGCTATGGGAGGTATTTATCTGTTCTTAGGGTCCGAGTGTGTGTGCATAAGTCCTTAGCCCCTCTGGGCTTTGGTTTCCTTTTCTGCAGAAATGGAGACAAAGCCTGGGTCCTCAGGCTGTGTATAAAGTTCTCAGCCCAGCACCTGTCACCCATGAGACATGCAATAAATGGTGGACATTGGCAACATGCATTGAAAGCCTTTAAAAATATGCTTTCCCTTTTACTCAGCAATGCCACAAATTGGAATTCATCTAAGGAGGTAACGCAGTACGAGGGTGTCACGGCAGCCCCGAACACAATAATGTCCACCAGTAGGGAATTTTTGGGTGATGATATGTTCATAGAGTAGAATGTTCCAAATTACATTTGACGTGGAAAGGCATCCATAAATATGAGGTGAAAAAACAGGTCCCCAAAATTGTATGTGGAGTGTAATCTTACACACATATACACATGTGCACACATACGCAGAGAAAGGTCTGGAAGAATATACACCAAAGGTTAAGAATGGTCGGGGTGGGCCAGCCCCGAGGCTTAGCGGTTAAGTGCGCGTGCTCCGCTGCTGGTGGCCCAGGTTCGGATCCCGGGCGCGCACCGACGCACCGCTTGTCCAGCCGTGCAGAGGCTGTGTCCCACATACAGCAACTAGAAGGATGTGCAACTATGACATACAACTATCTACTGGGGCTTTGCGGGCCGGGGGGAGGAGGAGGATTGGCAATAGATGTTAGCTCAGAGCCAGTCTTCCTCAGCAAAAAAGAGGAGGATTAGCATGGATGTTAGCTCAGGGCTGATCTTCCTCACAAAAAAAAAAAAAAAAAGAAAAAGGTCGGGGTAAGCAGAAGTATAAGTGATCATGTGTTTCTATTTTCTGATTATTTTCAGTGGGCATGCATTTACCTCTATAATTATATGAAAAGAAATTAAGAAAAGACCCTCTCCCTGTCCGTAACCCCTTCTTTCATTCTCCCTTCCCTCCTTTCCTAAACCCGATTTCTGGTTTTCATGGCCCTTCCATTTCAGAAGCCCTCTTTCCTCCAGGTTATGTTGTTTCTGATTTTTTAGTCCTCAGCCCCTAGTACCCCAACTCTACATGTTGATTCCTGACCTGCCAGGCACTTTAATTTGCTTTCTCAGTTAAACCTCAGCACACCCCATGGATTAGGTCATTGTCTTCCATTTTACTGAACAACAAACGGAAATAGATATTAGGAAGCTAGCTTCCCGCCTCCCCTTTCCTTACTCCAACTCCTGTGCGTCTGTCAAAACCAGGCTCCTATGATGTCTCCTCTGACGGCCACACCTGCCAGCAGGGCCAGCCCTGTGACCCTTGGCTCCCTGACGCTTCCTGCCGCACTGTAGTTGTTACTCGTGATCTAGCCTGTCTGCCCTCTGCAGCTGTGAGCTCAGTAAGAACAAGGACTGCTTTCTTTTCTGTACCCAAGCATCTGGCACAGTACTCGGCACAGGAGGGGTTCTGGAAACATCATTCAAGCAGCAAACGTCATTGGCCTCTACTTCCAGCTCTGTCCCTCCTCTTGAGTTCCAGCCATGGCTTTCAGTTTCTACTGAGTACCCCACCTGCACTTCATTCATCAAGAGGAGCACTTACCATCTTTGCTCCCAGCCAGCTCCTTTTGGAATTGTCCGTTTGGAGTTGGGGCATCACCGTTTTCTCAACCACGGACTCTGGAATCCTCCACTTCTCTGCCCTGCCCTCCTTGTCCAAGGAGCTGCCTTTTTGAACCTTCTCGGAGCTGCCTCCACCTCCATCGTTAGTGGGCACAACTCACATGGGGAGCTGGTGGAAATGCAGGGTCCCCAGCTCCACCCATGGATTCTGATTCCTTGGGTCAGGAAACAGGTGTGTCTCCCATCTCTAATGCTAGCGAGTTTGCCCTGGTAAATTGAGCAACTGCTTGGCAGCTGAGGCAGAGATAATGGATTAGGGGTAGGGAGAGGTACAGAAAAAGAAGAAAATGGGGATTAAAAGTTATGTTAGTTCATCAGAAACTGCTGCTTAGGATTGCTACAGTTGATTGAAATTTAATAAATAGTAAGCATTTCATTTATTCTTTCAATAAATACTTACCTGGTACCCACTGTGTGCCAAGCTGGAAAATATTAGCTAACACTCATCAGGTGTTCCCTCTGTGCCAGGCTCGAATAGTCGTCCCAACAACCCCATGGGGGAAGTGAGGCAGCAAGAAGGTAAGTAGCTTGCCCAGGATGCACAGCTGGTGTGCAGCAGAGCCGGGCTCTGACCCAGCAGCCTAACCCGGAGCCGGGGTTCCTGAGCACTCCGTTCCAGTTATGCTCTGAGGAGACAGAACAAGACAGCACCCATCCTCCTGCTGCTTACCTTCTAGTGGAATTTCTGAACAGGTTATCATTATGTTCTAGTAAGTGCTTGTTATAGAAATCAGCTGGTTGCATTCAACATTTCTTTAAAAAAAAAAAAAAAGCTTGCGCAGGCCCGGTGGCGTAGTGGTTGGGTTCATGTGCCCCGCTTAGGTGGCCCGTGGTTCGCAGGTTGAGATCCCAGGCACAGACCTATGTACCACTCATCAAGCCATGCTGTGGTGGCGTCCCACATGCAAAGTGGAGGAAGATGGGCACAGATGTTAGCTCAGGGGCCAATCTTCCTCACCAAAAAATAAAATAAAGTTAAATCCTGGGGGGTGGTCCATCAGAAGGCAGAGGAGAAACCACATCTGCCTTGAGCCGACAGGACACAAATAATTCACAGAACATACTCAGCTCATTTCCATGTTTTTTTTTTTTTTTTTGCTTTCTGGCGTTAATTTTTTTTTAACTTTTTAATTCAACAGATGTGAGATTTGAGATTTGGCAGATAGAACAGGATGGAGTGGGTTGGGAGTGAGTCTATATGTGGAAAGAGAAAATGCAGTGAGAAAAAATAATTAATAGTTGGGATGTGTTCAGATTTACATTATGTAAGGAGACCCTATTTTGGTTGGATGAGTCATTTTTTTTGTAAGAGGGACGTGAAATAGCTGTGGTTTTCCTAATGCTGAATTGGGGGAAGCTGCAGTAATATCGATGGCAGGAACCCAGGGTCAGTCTGTGATATTCCTGCCTAAGGTGCCTTACCCGAATCTAATCGTGAGGAAGCAGCAGACAAGCCCACATTGGGGAACAAAATAACTGGAGACTAAAGAAACATGACAACTGAATGCACCCCATGATCTGGGATTTTCTTTTGCTATAAAGAGAATACTGGGACCATGGAGCAGATCTCAGTAAGGTCTGTCCTTTAGACGTGGTATTGTTTCAGTGTTAATTTTCTGACTTTGATGATTATACCGTGGTTATATAAGAGAGTTCCTTGTTTTTAGGGAGTACACACTGAAGTGTTTAGAGGTGAGGAGGGGAGGGAGGGAGGAGGGGAGAAGGGAGGACTCCCCCCCTCCAAAGAGCGCTGTTATCACATGGCTTAAGCCACAGAGTCAGCCCCTCTCAGAGAGCCCAGGCTTCCAAAGACGTGAGGCGGGTGGGCCCTCCCCCAGCAGGCTTCAGCGGCTCCTGGGAAGGAATGAGGGCCATACCTCGCCTCTCACCACCCGTGTTGCTCTGTCTGTGCTAAGACACCACACCTTTCCTGGGGGAATGCCCCTCTCGCTGCTCCCCACCTGCCTGGAGAAAAGTCCAGCTGGGAGGCTTAGAGGAAGAAGTGGAGGGGGAGTTAGGAGGCCAAGCTCCTTCTGGCACAGCCTCTAACCAGAAAGTGGGGGGGGCGGGGCGCACTCCATGAGGGGAGAAGCCACGTGATCCCCCACATCAGTTTCCTCACCTGCACAACGAGGGGCCTGGGCTGGATTCTGTCAGTCCCTGCGGCCCTTTCTGCTACTTCTTGGGAACTTGTCTCTCTCTCAGATGCATCCGTAATGGCTCTCTGTAAGCCCCTGGGAATCTCTCCCTTAGCCTCAGGAAAGAGGCTGTGGTCCCGGCCCCTGAGGGATTGATTGTTGGAGCTCCTTCCTGGCGTAGGTACCCTCTGTAGATCGTGTGTTCAGATCGTTAGAATATTGCATTGATCTCTGCTGACACTGTAAGTTTTCAGCAAACCCTCGGGTGTACCATTTGGTAAGTTCACGTGGTCATTCTTTCCTGTAGCATGTGAGTGGGGCTCCTGCCATGTCCCAGGCCCGTGCTAGGCACAGGGGGCCTTAGTTAGGAGTCACAGTGCCTGCCATTGAGCAGCGTGGGTGCACAATATAGCACCTGATGGGACAGTTTTTGTAAAGTCACTTTTCCTTGTGACTGGAGAGTGATAGGGAAAAGAGCCAGAAGCCCCAGCTCCACTCTCAGTTAGTTGTATGAACTTGTATTAGATAACCTCTGTGGGCCTCAGTCTCCTTGCCTGTTAAATGGGGATAGCAATCTTCCTCTGCTGCCCTCCCTCCCCACCTTGCAGAGCTGTGGCCCCTTCCATGGGAGAATATATATATATATTCTGCTTTACAAATACAAGGTAGTCTCGGCGTTAATCCCTCAACACGCATATATGGAAGTGCTGTGAAAAATGTAGGGTCTCAAACATGAAATGAGAATGACAGTGTTGTCTCCACCCTCCACTGAGCTAAAAAGAGAGAACATTGCGGGGACGTGGTAGTAAAGACGGGGAGAATCAAGGAAGAGGAAGACCAGCCTCTTCCATGTGCCGGCATAGGGCTCAGAACCTGGTCCTTGGAAGCGGAATTGATTGTGGCCTTATCCTTCCAGTGCACCAGGTGGCCGAGCGGGTGGAGGCCCTCGGACAGTTTGTCATGAAGACCAGAAGGACCCTCAAAGGCCACGGGAACAAAGTTCTCTGCATGGACTGGTGCAAGGATAAGAGGAGGATCGTGAGCTCATCGCAGGTACGTCACACCTCATGTGTGATGGCGAGCGCGTTTCTGATTTTACAGCTAAGGGGGAAAGAGAGCTGTCCTTTTCAAAAACCCTTTCTGATCCTTCTGATTTGGCTTATTCTCCCAAGGACATCAGTTAGCATAGTTAAGAATTCTCTTGCAGACTGCGGAACTTCACTAATTTGGGTAGATTTGGAATTGGTAATAACTGAAACATTGTAAACTATATTTCACAAACCATGCAAAATTATTTCTTCCTGAGCATATTTCAAGGTCTTATTTGTGGGTGAAACCATTTTTAAAATAGTATGTTTTCTTTTTTTCCCCAAATTGAGGACATAGTGCTTCAGATTCCACCGTGGCTTCTTTCAATTTAAGAGTTTAGCAATTATTATGCCTTAAAAAACAAATTTAAGATATGTATTTTGTGAAGCATAGTTTTTTCATTCATTTTATGTAGTCGACATAGTTTATTTTACATCTTATGTATTAGTTATCTATTGCTGCATAACAAATTACCCCCAAACTTAGCAACTTAAAACAACAAATATTTATTTATTCATTTATTTTTGGTGAGGAAGATTGGCCCTGAGCTAACATCTGTTGCCAATCTTCCTTTCTTTTTTTTGCTGAGGAAGATTGGCCCTGAGCTAACATCCATGCCCATCTTTCTCTACTTTGTATGGGATGCCGCCACAACATGGCTTGATGACCATTGCGTAGGTCTGTGCCCGGGATACTAACCTGCAAACCCTGGGCTGCTAAAGCAGAGCACGTGAACCCAACCACTACGCAACCGGGCCGGCTCCAAAATTTATTATCTTACATGGTTGCCAAGGGTCAAGAACCCGGAGCAGCTTAGCTAGATGATTCTGGCTCAGGGTCTCTCATGAGGCTGCAGTCAAGATGCTGGTCGGGGCTGCAGTCATCTGACAGCTGAACTGAGGTGGAAACTCACTTCCAAAACGGCTCCCTCACGTGGCTGTGGGCTGGAGGCCTTAGTTCCTCTCCATGTGGACTTACCATAGGCTGACATGGTGACTGGCCTCCCCCAGAGCAAAAGAGGGAGACAGAGGCAGAAGCCACGCTGTCTTTTATGACCTGGCCTCAGAAAGGACATTCCATCACTTCTTCTGTATTCCACTGGTCACACAGACCAACCCTGATATAATGAGGGAGGGGTCTCTACAAGGGTGTGAATATCAGGAGGCTGCTACCATTGCCTAGTATTTTTTATGTCTATTTCGATGTTACATTCATTGAACATAAAACTATAAACTGAAGTCATATAGTTTTATGGCCAGTTTGGGCTTCCCCCCACCCCTGCCTTCAGCCCAGCTTTTCATAGGACAATTTTTTTTATAACTCTTTTAAGTATAAAAGCTGTACATATTCTAAATAATCCACAAGCTCTAATGTCTGCGTCAGTGTTGTGTTTGTCATTAATCTCCCGTATTACCTACAAATCTAGTGTGTCACATTGCATTTGCTTTTTTTTATGTTCATGAAAAATTTAATTTATCACTTATGTATTTTACCACATTAAAGAAACACTGGAAAAGAGAACAAAGAAAAGGTTTTTACTCCGACCACCCCATCACAACCATTATTACTATTTGAGAGCATTTCTTTCTAGACCTTTTTTTCCAAATGCTCATTTTTACAGAAGGTTATCGAGATGTGCATGTTGCTACCTAGCCTTTTAGACTGTTTTTATCCTTAAAAGTATAATATATGTTGGATTTTCTGTCACTTGTGGACTACTCTTATTAGAGAGGAGGGAGGGGGGAAGGATGCTTCAGCACTGCTGACACGCTCCATCTACCCACCTCTGCTCGAGGGAGAGGGGGAGAGTGGGGTGGGATGTGGGAGGAAGCTGAAAACATCAGGAAGGCTCTGGAACAGTCTTTGAGTGACTCAGAGCAGCCCTTCTCCCTTAAAAGGCAGGAGCTTAATCAACCTGACTGTGTGGGTTAGGGTTGGGGTGGAGGCACAGTCTGTCTAGGTACGTGGGCCCCTGGTGTATATAAATCTGTGCTCATGGAAGGGACCACATTTAGTTTTGTGAGACTGATTTTAGCCTCTTGGGTGTCTTTTTCTCTCCAGAGCACACAGTGGGTGAGAGGTGGGGACAGGCAGGAGGGCACTGCGGTGGAGGAAGCCACCGAAGTGAACACTGACTGGGCAATGTACTGAGTCAGTACCCCACCCAGCATGCGGGGCCTCCAGGTGTGGAGAACCCCGAGGAACAGGACTGTAGCCCCTGCTCTGTTCTCTGCTCGGATGCCTAATCTACCCCGTGCATCATGTTTGAGCGTTTAGTCAGAGAAACTAGACTAGAACAACGAATGTGCTTGGGGGTCTTAAAAGGCCCAGAACTGCCAACTTTGACCTTGTTTCAGGGCCCCTCAGCCACATGCAGCATGCATATGGAAATCTTCCATCGGATCACGCAAAGCAAGCCGCTATGTCACTTTAGAGAATCAGACCTTGCCTGTGCCCCTAAGTTGCATCCTGCCCCCCACCTGCCCCCAACAGACTCATTTACCAGACTCAGCTCAAAAGGCTTAAGTGATTAAAAAAATCAAGCCTGCCATAGAGGCTGCAGATTCACCATCCTGAGGATGCGTGGGGTACCTGTGCACTGAGGGAAGTCGGCTCAGCCATCCCCTTCCACTGTCGCCAGAGCCTGGGGGCCCAGAGAACGTGCACCCCACATTCTGTGCAGGTGACTGTGTTGTAGGGACCAGGGCTCATGTGGATTTATCTCTGGTGGGTTTGTATTACAAATAGATGACATCAGAGTCACTCCCCACACCCCCAGTGTGGGCTGTAGCAGCGGTTACAGTGCAAGAGCGGCGTTCGCTGTGGCATCACCAGCCCAGAGCTCACCCTGGACAGGGAGTGCTTTTTCTTTTTTAATTGAGATCATAATGGTTTATAACATTGTGTAATTTCAGGTGTCCGTTATTGTTTATCAGTTTCTATATAGACCGCATCATGTTCACCACCAATAGTCTGATTTTTATCTGTCACCATACATATGTGCCCCTTTATCCCTTTCACCCAACCCCCTTCCCCTCTGGTAACCACTAATCTGTTCTCTTTGTCCATGTGTTTGTTGATCTTCCACATATGAGTGAAATCCTACGGTGTTTGTCTTTCTCTGTCTAGCTTATTTTGCTTAACATCATACTATCTCCAGGTCTGTCCATGTTGTTGCAAATGGGACAATTTTGTCTTTTTTAATGGCTGAGTAGTATTCCATTATATACATATATATACCACATCTTGTTTATCCGTTCATCAGTTGAAGGACACTTGGGTTGCTTCCACATCTTGGCTATTGTGAATAATGCTGCAGTGAACATAGGGGTGCATAAATCTCTTTGAGTCATTGATTGCAAGTTCTTTGGATGAATACCCAGTAGTGGAATAGCTGGGTCGTATGGTATTTCTATTTTTAATTTTTTGAGAAATCACCATGTTATTTTCCATACTGGCTGCACCAGTTTGCATTCCCACCAGCAGTGTATGAGGGTTCCCTTTTCTCCACGTCCTCTCCAACATTTGTTATTTTTTGTCTTGTTAATTATAGCCATTTGGATGGGTGTAAGGTGATATCTCATTGTAGTTTTGACTTACATTTCCTTAATAATTAGTGATGTTGAACATCTTTCACATGCCTGTTGCCCATCCTATCTTCTTTGGGAAAATGTCTGTTCATATCCTCTGCTCGTTGTTTGATTGGGTTGTTTTTTTTGTTGTTGAGTTGTATGAGTTCTTTATATATTTTGGAAATTAACCCTTTGTCGGATATATGATTTGCAAATGTTTTCTCCCAGTTGGTGGGTTGTCTTTTTGTTTTGTTCCTGGTTTCCTTTGCTTTGAGAAGCTTTTTAGTCTGATGTAGTCCCATCTGTTTACTTTTTCTTTTGTTTCCCTTGCTTGAGTAGACATGGTATTTGAAAAGATGCTGCTAAGACCGATGTCAAAGAGTGTACTGCCTATATTTTTCTTCTAGGAGTTTTATGGTTTCAGGTCTTACATTCAAGTCTTTAATCCATTTTGAGTTAATTTTTGTGTATGGTGTAAGATAATGGTCTACTTTCACTCTTTCGCACGTGGCTGTCCAGTTTTCCCAGCGCCATTTATTGAAGAGACTTTCCTCTCTCCGTTGTTCTTGGCTCCTCTGTTGAAGATTAGCTGTCCGTAGATGTGTGGTTTTATTTCCCGGCTTTCAATTCCATTCTGTTGATCTGTGTGTCTGTTTTTGTGCCAGGACCATGCTGTTTGTTTACTGAACAACTGCCCACAGGGCGTCCCCACCATTATAGGTGTGAGTCTCACATTTCTCAACATAGGTGTGAAATGTCAGGGTGGGGGCTGTGATGTCTGCGAGCACCTGGAGAAGTTAGACTGATCTCAGGGCCACAATGCTCCCAGCTGTCCACCCAGAGATGGGACCGAGAATGGGGGTGGGGTTCTTACACGGTCCTGTAGGGAAGCAAGCAAATGTAGAGAGGACGGGCTAGTGGGGCGACGAGGGATAAAGTAAGAGACAATGAGTTACCTGTCAGGTACCTAAAGGTAATTTCAGGTTTATCTTACCCCTGTATAACTTTTTGACATCTAGGCTATGGTGGGTGATGACAGTTGACCAACAGTTTGTGCTTGGTTCATACATGATATAAAAGAAGTGTCTGAGCATTGCTTTCTGTCACTGTATCTATACAAAGAATGTAGGGTTGAGAACTGAGCCTTTAGCCAGGCTGGAAAGTTGGAGGGTCTTGATTATCTAGATTCTTACCCAGCTGGACACAGCTTCTATGAGCAGTTCCCAGCAGTCACCTGTAAGGACCTGTTGACAACTCCTGAACTGTTTCTTCTTTTCCCTCCAGGACGGGAAGGTGATCGTGTGGGATTCCTTCACGACTAACAAGGTAAGGCTGTCCTCCGAACCCCAGGCCTGTCCTCATTCCCTGCCTCTTGGGGAGCCCCTCTGGGGATGGAAACCCCACGAAAGCCCATCTGTGTTTGGATAGCTCAGCGCTCCGTTCATGCGTTCATTCCTCTCTCGAGCTGAAATCCCTCTCCCAGAGAAGAGTGTGTGGGGCCAGCATAGAGGGTGCAAATACTACACCAGGAAAGGGCCTGGCCTGGAAAGCTTGTGACATTCACACGTGCAGCTGCATTTATTGTTTTTCTTCTGAGTGATGATAAGAGGTACCCAAACCCCCAGTTTTCTCTCCCCTCTCTGTCTTCGACAGACTCCATAGCTCTGTGGACATGTGCAAATGGGGGTGGGGATGCTGAGGCTGCAGCGGGATTGAACTGCACTATCCTGGGATGCAGGGGAGTCTGGGTCCCTTGCAAGTCTGGCCTGGGCATGAGTGGCTCCAAATTAGACCTAAATTTAGACTCTTGAATAAAGGGCTGAAATCTATGTGTAGGTGTGTTCGCATGCCTGCAACGTGTTGGCATTTACAATAACAAGTATTGTGTATTAAATATGAATTCCAATATTTACTGAGAAGGAAAGTCTTCCTTTTCACTACATAAAAAAGGAGGCCCATATCTGCCTCACATTGAACAGCGTCCGTATTCTGCACTGTTGCATGTGTTTAGTAAACATCGTGGCAGGCAGCCGTTACACGACCTGATCCAGTGGGGCCCCAGAACCATCTTGTAGAGCAGAGTCCCTAATGGTCAGGCCCTTGGAGAATAATAAAAATGACAACTTAACATTTTGCATAGGGCTGTCCTATACAGCACCTCCCTCTGTGGAAGCCTCTGCCTCTCCCAGCACTCCTCAGCGTCTTCAGGAGTGTGTGGGGTTTCATTGCTTCTGTTTAGACCTTCACGTGGCATAGAGCACACCCTGCCTGGTTCCTGGGGAGCTGTGGGGTTGTCCCCTGTGGCCCCTGGCAGGAAACGTAGTCATTACTTGTAAGGAAAGGGGCCTTGGATGCCCTGTGCTGAGAGTGGCTGCCTCAACGCATTCGCTGCAGTAGGTTATCCTTGGTGTCTGAAAGGCTGCGAGACTGGGAGTGGCGACAGAATTTTGACAGGCAGTATCAGGGCCCGTGTTTCTCTGCAAAAACACAGAGAATCATAACAGGAAAGAAGACCAGCACATGAATGTACTTTAGAAATCGTCTAGTCCCATCCTCTCTCTTCACAGCTGGAGCATGAGCCTGAGGTAGGACAAATGGCTGGCCTGCGTGAGGTTGCACATTTGCTGGGGTCAGGACCACGAGCAGGGCCCATGTCTCCCATGGAAATAAGACCACAGACTCAGAAGTTTTTGAATTGTGACTTTGTTGTTTGCCTATCTGCACGCAGGAGAATATGGGTGACTCAACCACCAGCCAGAAGCTGGGGACTGTTAGACCTAGGTCTTAATGCTCCACTTTACAGGCTCTCTTTTGTCCCCAGGCACAACTCCAGGTCACCCTCCCCACCTCCACCCCCATTCATACTTCCCCGGGAATGGCTTTATGACCCATAGGGGACAGAGGCTCTTATACACTCAGAAGTAAACAAACTTATAATATACATATAAAAAGTCATTCCAGAATATATTTTGAAAATAGGGGAAATCTGAGTAAATAAGTTAAAGTATATATCTGAAATGAAATTCGGATGGACCTTTCAAAGAAAATAAGCCCTAATATTCATAGAAGAACAAGGGGAGTGTAACATTAAGAAAGAAGTAAAACATTAAGGATATTTTTTGCTAGTTGAGATTTTTAACTTGTAGAATATATGACATAGAGTTTGGTTGATTATGGAGGAGCTGAGTCTCGTCAGTCTCAGGCTGATGTAATTTAGTAGGAACTCCAGTGATTTTATTTTGTGAAAGTTAAGGGTTAAGACCTTCGTGTAAAAGCACCCCTCATTCATTCTGTGAACAGTGCGTACTGTGTTTCAGGAGCACGCGGTCACCATGCCCTGCACGTGGGTGATGGCGTGTGCGTATGCCCCATCGGGATGTGCCATTGCGTGTGGGTAAGTAGGGGCTTACCCACAGCAGCTTTTCAGATTTCCTGTTAGCCATGAAATACTATTCTATAAGCAAAAACAAGCAAACAAATAAGAACTTGTAATTTTTATTGTTTTCTTGTTAAGCAATGTGTTAAATTCCTCCCTAAACTTTGTCAAAGGAAAAAAACCACAAAAATATCATTCATAATTATTTTCTTTACAGACTGAGAGTAGTGTAAGTTTCAAACCTATCCCCTCCACTCTCAAATGATGTTGTCGGGGACTATAAATTGGTGTAAACATTTTGGAAAGCATGTTGGTAATGTGTATCAGAAGCCTTGAAAAATGTATAACCTTTGATCTGGTGATTCCACATCTAAGAACTTGTTTGGAAGGAATGATCCAAAATATAGAAAAACTGTGTGAACAATAACATTTGTTGTAGTATTATTTAAAATAAAGGGGAAAAAAGGGAAACAATATCTCCATCAAAGGAAATTGTTAAGTGAATTGTGGTACATGAATGGAATATTATATAGCCACTAAAATGGAAAATTCTTAATTTCAGTAAGTGAAAAGAGCATCAAAGTTACTAGGAAGATTGTGCCTTATTCTCTGGTCTCCTGGAGCTCCATTTAACGGAGTTGGCAGTGAGAACTGCAACATAATTCCCTACCTCTGTGTTAAGCAATTCTAGGACCATTCAAAATATTTCACCAGTGGGATCTCAGCCATGTTTAGAGAAGAGGCATTAGTATAAAGGCTGTGAAGAACTATACCAAAAGTCCAATAGTAGTTCTTTCTGGATGATGGGACTATGGGTGTTTTTCTCTTCTTTATAATTTTCTCTATTTTCAGTTTTTAAAAATAAGCATAGATTATTTTTATAATCAGGAGAAAAGAGTTTTATTTCAAATAGTTACCTCCAAGCAAAAACTTTGGAACCTTCTCAAGCCAGAGTCACACCAGCCGTCTTCTCCAGTGTGCTATCTCTTTGGGCGGCTGCTTTGGGGGCAACTTTCCACCCTCTCTCTCCACTTGCCGAAACCCTGTGTGCCTTTGGAACCCATGCCCACATACATGTATTACATGTTTTCAAAATTTTTAAATAACTCAAAAGTAGATTGTGTCTCCATTTTATAATGGGATGGCAACATTTATATAAAGTTCATCCCTATCTACTTCCTAAAAGGATATGAGGTGACCACAATAAAAGACACAGAGATACAGTTGTCCCCCACTATCTTTGGGGGATTGGTTCCAGGACCCCTACGGATACCAAAATCCGTGGATACCAAAATCCATGGTTGCTCAAGTCCTTTAGTCAGCCTTCCATATCTGTGGGTTCCACATCCTAAGATTCAACCAACTGCAGATGTGGAACCCAGGGATATGGAGGGCTGACTGTATGTATAGATATAGATATCTAGATATATATGTATTTATATATATGCCACATGTGTAACACATGCACACACACGTATATAAATGCCACAATTTTAAGGCAGTTGTAAGGGAGTTCAGCCAACTGTACAGTTACAAGGTGTAGTCCCCACAAGACTTCCCTCACTTCAGAGACTAGGCAGAAATTCAAGGGTCCCCACAACTGCCCTCAGGTTCAGTAATTTGGTAGAACAACTCAGGAAAGTGCTGTGCTTAATGCTCACAGTTTTATCACAGTGAGAGGATACAAATTAGAACCAGCCAAAGGAAGCGATCCCCAGGCAGAGTCCAGGAGGGGTCTGAACGTGGAGCTTCCAGTCAGCCCCACCCTGTGGAGTCATGGGTGGTGTTACCTCCTCCTGGCCACTGTGTGTGCTACGCTCGGAGTATTGTTTGCCAGAGTCTTTGGTGTCCAGAGTTTTTACTGGGGCTCAATCACATACTGCCCGTGGCTGGCCTTCAGTCTGCAGTCTCTCCTAGGGATTGGGAATAATACCTTTGATCTCGAGTTCCTCCAGAGGTCAGAACTCATAGGGCATGTCCCAAAGCCCCCATCACAAATCACACTGTTAGACTGTCCAGTGGCCAAAGCCCCAGGCAAACAAAGACATTCCCATCAGGAAGGACGTTCCAGGGCTCAGACACACCTCCCAGTGGCCGAGGTCAAGGCCAGACCTCTTGATAGGTATGGTCAATTCTTCACAACTTAGTAGGAATAATTAATACTCTACATTTAAAAATACCCTAGGGTAATACGTTTCTAATTGGGTGTTAATTTTAGCAAATGCCTGGAGTTGGGTGCATTATATAAATTTCTCAGTATTTGATATTGAGATATAAGCTATCTGGTTCTGAATTACAAAAAGAATATATTGGGTAGATCCTTCTACAATATACAATGAATATAATATCATAGTGAACAACGTCTTCAACAGTAGTTTAGAAAATGAATCTGTAGGCTATTTCTTGTTTTAACCCTCACTAAATGGAACCCAGTGGAAGAATTTTCATCAGGGCAGAGGGGTAGGGGCCAGCCAGAGACGAGACCAATTTTACAAGGTCTAGGTAGATAGCTGTCTGGTGACAGCCTGGCACAGAAAGAGAGAGCAGAGCGGAGGGAGGGCTGGTGCCTTAATCCTTGTCATCTGTTCCCTGGGCCCGGGCATGTAGATGGTCAGTACCTGTACGGGTGCCTCACAGGTTGTTATAAAAACCAAAGCAGAGGAAGTTCAAGGTGTGAGTATTTGTGGAAGCATATTTTAAAATATGGGGGTGTCCAGTGGATGAGGAGAGAGCACCAAAAACTAAACTGAGAAAGCCTGACTCCTCATCTTGGATAAGAGCACCAGCTACCCAACTTAGACCTTCCCCTAGAGCTTCTAAGAGCAAATGGGATTTGAGTTTCTAGTGGAAATCTAACACAGCGTTTCCCAGCTGTGGCTTTGTGACATGACTGTAACTCCATTATCACACAGACCCACACCTGTGCCACATTCTCTAAATGTCCTTATAGGTAATAATGGGGATATTTTTTATCTCCATCTGCCTGATTACTGGGTCTATCTCTCAGTTGATTCCAAACTTGAAAGCTAAAACTCCAACATTGCCACAATCCCCTTCTCAAAAAAATGTGTCAATTGATTTCATATATATACATAAACTATTTTTTATTTAAGAGCCTTATGCCCTTCATTCAGGCGTTGTACACTTGCTATGAGCAACTGTGTACAGGACACTGGACTGCGTGTCCTAGGGGAATTCAAAGATGAATCAAACCCAGTTCCTGCCTTCAAGCAAGGAGAATATAAAAATAACAATACAACCACTTACTGAGCCTCTATCATGTGTCAAGGGCCATTCTAAACTCTGTATAATCTTCACAACAGCCCCTTGTGATTGGTGGATGGGATCTATTCCATTTTATAATTGAGGAAACCGAGGCTCAGAGAACCTAAAAAAACGTAACCAAGATCACAAAATGAGTTAGGTACTAAGCAGAGATTTGACACCAGATGCATCACACTGCAGAACTTCTCTGCCTCTCATAGCAATGCAGATAACCCTAAGTAGTGAGATTCCCAACAGCACTACAAAAGTGACTCTGAAGCCTCAGCATGGGAGAACACGTCCCACCTTGAGGTTCAGGGAAGCCCAGAGTCCACAGCATGCTGGTTCATGACACAGCCAAATGCAGATCATTCTCACCCACCTGATCTATAAACAAGCTTACCAAGGCTAACTACTGGTAATAGATGACCCAGGTCTACACCCACACCTCCAAGTAGTTGGAAAGGCAGAGGGGTCCCCTAGCTTCCCCAGGGCCTCATAAGAGAGTGCCCCATCCTAAATATCGTTCCCCACTAAAAGGAAGCAGGGGTCTTGAGAGAAAGGCTGATTGTAGGTCTAGGGCAGGAAGAGAATAAAGTGAGCCTAGAATATTTTCTTGTTCCAGAAAGCAAGGAAACGTTCAAGAATGAATAGAGTCATATCAAAAGGAAACAGGGCTGCTTGAAGGGGCCCGACTGTCCAAATTTGGGACAATTTGAGCACCACATGGAATAATGATAGTAATGGATCGTAACACAGTTGAAGAGAAAAAAGAATCCATGGGTGTACAGTGATAATGGGGGAAGAAGGGACTTTTCTTTACAGAAAAATACCAGCTAATAAATGCAGAAGGAATTGTCAAATTAGAAGGTCACCATTTTGTACCCCTAAAGTAATATTTGGTTCAAACAAGGGTAATCATGCTGAAGCCATTGTATGGAAGGTTGTTGGGGAACGGATATTCACATGGTCTCAAAGTGTCACACTGCAGGTGATTACTAATTATGAAAAATCATCTTTACCATGGAGAGAGCTGGTGGGCCCCACCTTGACCAGGTAATCAAAGTTGACATCGCCAATCTTGAGACAACAGGCATCGCAAGCCTCCTGAAGTGTAGCAGTAAGAAAGAAGTACACAATATTACCTTGATACTATATTGCCAAAAATGTTATCCTTGAATCTAACCATTGAGAAACAATGTGAGGAATCCAGAGTGTGTGACATTCTTTAAGACAACTGACCTAAGATCTCTTGTCATGAACAACAAAAAATAGGTGGATGGTCTGTTCTAAATTAAAAGATCTTAAAAAAATATAAAAACCACATGTAATGCATGAACCTTGATTGGGCCCTGGATCCTGGGGACAACTGGGAAAGAATGAATATAGATGGCTTATTACATGGTGTTAGGGAATTTTTGTAAGTTTTCTCAGATTCGATCATGATTTAGTGGCTATATAGGAGAATGTTCTTATTTTTAGGGGATGTAAATCTGCAAATTAAAGTATTTAGAGGTAACATGTCACATCTACAATTTGCATTCACATGGTTTAGAATTTGTTCCCGTGAATATGGCAAAATGTTAAGTTAGTGAATCCAGGTGAAGGAATCTGGGTCTTTATTGTACTATTTTTCTTTCAGTCTTACTGTACGTTTGAAAATCTTCAAAGTAAAAGTCGGGGGAAAGGTTACAATATATGATACTGCCAAAGGAAAACATTCTGAAAAGTTTGTGTGAACAAGAAAGTATACACTTACTCTATTGCCCTATAGTAACACTTGCCACTTGTTTCTTTCCTGCTAGTGGTTTGGACAATAAGTGTTCTGTGTATCCGCTGACGTTTGACAAAAATGAAAACATGGCCGCCAAAAAGAAGTCTGTTGCTATGCATACCAACTACCTGTCGGCTTGCAGCTTCACCAACTCTGACATGCAGGTAAACGGGCGGCCCGCGTGATGGCTCAGCCTGCTGGAGAGCCGGGTAACTCTAGAGAACCAAAGAGAAGCAGCAAGGAGAGGAACCCTCTCCCGTGTCCCTCCTAGCAGGAGGGCTGTGCTCCAGCAGTTGGCTCAAAGAGGAAGCTCCTGTTGTTTCTCATTGCTTACTATGATTTTTTAAATAAAATCAGAAGTGGGAAAAGTCAGGGCTATCGATTGTTGATAGAGTTGAAATAAACTACATGCCATATTGAACATCGTCCTCTAATTGACTGGGGTTGGGGGGCATGGAACACGGAACCTTCTGGGGTGGTGGAAATGCCTGTCTCCTGGTCTGAGTGCCCGTTCCAAGGTGCTTACGTGTGTAAAACTTCACTGAGCTGCTGAGCTTCAGCGTCATGCACTTGACACACCTCACTGTACCTACTTGACACTCCTGTTTTAACAAATGCAAAAAGAGAAAGATTCAGATAGTTAATCACTTGGAATAAACCACAAAGTGAAAACAATACAACTTCAACACTTTGGCTAAGTTTTCTTAAGTTGTAAAAGCATCTGTAGTTTATTCATTCACATCTATTCAGCAGACCTTCCTAGGTACCCACATTGCCAGATACCACGTGGCTCTGGGGCTGGAAGCACACGCAATCTCTGCCCTCAGGGACCTTCACGGAAACCAATCGTGAGTGTACCGTTCGGAGGCTGGGAGCTCAGAGCGGGAGGGGGTGGTTGCAAACTTGCTGCAAGATGCTGCCTGAGCCGGCCTGGGAGGGAGAGGAGGTGTTGCCGGTGAAGTTTGAGGGGAGCACAGTGGGAGGCAGGCAGCCTGAGAGGCAGGCAGGGCCAGGTCACAGGGCACCCTGAATGTCTAGACTGACTATAGACAGGAGGGAGCCATTGCAGGGACTGGGTCAAATTTGGATTCATTTTAGGAGAAGAGTATCTGAGTTGGATTTCAGCCTTCCATGGCCCACTCTGGCTTCAGCTGACTGATGTCAGGCAGGGAGGCGAGGCTGGTGGCAGGGAGACCGGGTGACTGGGTAGTTGTTTAATTGCTGGTTGGAGAGATGTTCAGATCTGGAGCGTACTGTTTGCACCTGTTGTTTGAGCCTGACCAGGAGTCTTGCAGACCTGTACAGCAGGGGGCGCTGTGGCCCTGGCTGGCTGAGCGGTCAGAACCAGATGTCTTTGGGCCTGAGGAGCGGCCAAAGCAACAGAGGACATTTAGTCCCAATGAGGGAAGGCTCAGAAGGATGCAGGAACGTGGGTCTTGCAGGGTGTGCCTGCATCTGAAGTTCCTCTGGTGGAGACCCATCGCCCTCACTCTGTTGCCACAGGTGCTGGAGGTGGGGATTGAAGGGGACACCTGTGAGGTAGAAAGTGCCGTCTTCTTCACAAGCAGCTAGCCAGAGCTAGAAGGAAGTCCCTGATAGCTGCCTCTGCGGGGATGCAGCTGGGAAGCAGAGACGGGTAGAGGTCTTAGGTCAGAGCCAGACAGCTGGGGTCAAATCCTGGCTGCACTCGTTCTAGCTGATCAGTCCTACACAGGGTTTTATTCTGTGTGCTTCATTTTTCTCATCTGCAAGTGAGGATGGTAGTAAATTTCTCCCTCATAAGGCTTTCTGAGGATCAAATGAGATGATTCGGGTACAATACTTAGTACAGTGCCTGGTATATATCACTAACTGTCAGCTGTTATTATTTTATTATTATTAATATTAACACAAAGCTTCATGGATGATTCAGATGCACAGCCTGGTTTGAGTGCCACTGAACTAATGAACCTTATGCTTCTTTCCATCTCTGGGATCTAGGATGAAAAAGAAAAACTCAAGTGGCTGGTGTAAGACTATGGTTTTAAACGTGCAGATTCTCTACATTCCAGAATAAATGCGTGGCAATGAGTGAGGGGTTCTGTTTAGTGCATTTATCATAATGAATGTTTTTTCAAATTTATTTTTACTTACATTGTAATGAGGATCGCAAAAATATTTTTAAAAAAATTTTTTTAAATTTTTTCTTTCTGTTGGTGAGGAAGATTAGCCCTGAGCTAACTTCTGTTGCCAATTCTTCTCTTTTTGCTGAGGAAGATTGGCTCTGGGCTAACATCTGTGCCCATCTCGCTCTACTTAATATGTGGGATGCCTGCCACCACATGGCTTGATGAACGGTGCGTAGGTCCGTGCCCAGGATCTGAACCTATGAACCCTGGGCCGCTGAAGCGGAGTGCATGAACTTAACCACTATGCCACCAGGCCAGCCCTTAAAAGTAAATTCTTAATATTTTAAAAAATATTTTAAGTTTTAAAAATTATTCATTTCTTTGAAGAGTATGGTATGGAAAAATGGCCAAATTAAAGAGCTAGAGTGAGGTAATTGTTTAAATTGTTTGGGGACGTTATGTCCCAAAACAGATTGGAGATTTGGGGCCCTTTGCAAGTGTTAGGATAGGAATAAGGTGGAGCATCCATTAGTGGATGTGGGCCAGGAGAGACTGGAGGGAATTCTAGGGAAATACATTACAAAATACGAGTCCCCCAGTTAAGATGCGGTCCAAGTCTTATGTGTTCATAAGCTACTTTTAACAGCCTCAGTTACCATGTCGGATGTACACAGGCCTCTCGAGGTAAGTCGAGGCTGGAGGGAGTCCCATGGACAGCTGCAGGGGCTTTGCAGCCATGGAGATTCCCCAAATTTGAGAGCTGCCCCTGAGTCCGGGCTTGGAGGAAGGCCTTTGGGGGCCATGCCCAAGAAGCCTGAGAGCTCCAGATTTCACCCAGCTCTTGCTCCAGGGAGGAGCTCCGAAGCCACCTCTCCTGGCTGCACGGAGGTCCTAGGCCTCTCCAGACTGCCTGGCCCGAAACCCAGTCCAAGATGGTGCAGCCGGTTGGCGCAAGGCCAGGGTGGGAGCAGATTCCCCTCCTTGTGTGTGTTCCCTCCCTGCCTGGCATGCAAGAGAGAAAGGAAGAGAATGGGAAGGGGGGAGGTGAGGGAGAAGAGCCAGGACGCGGAAATTGGAGGTGCGGCGGGGTCAGTGGGTGCAGTGAATGCTAGCAGTCCTTAAGGCCTGGTTCCTGTTCTCTTTCCTCAGCCATCAGTAATCACCACCCACAGCAGGCGCTCTGTTGTGGTCCCTTACACCGCATGAGCCACTTCCTGCACTGTCTTATCACCTCATCCAGGCCCTGGAAGCAACCAGGAGGTGGGAAATAGGGAGGCTTTGCTATCCAGGGCAAACCCTTGTGGATCCCCACCTAGCTGCTCGGGACCAAGCTGGCTCCTGGGCTCTGCGATGCAGTCAGCTGGGTCTATGATGCCATGAGCCCTGGGTCCCTGCTGCCTTTCTCCTAACCCCGTGAACAAGTGCTTAGCCAGAGCCCAAGCCTCACACGCACTGGCAGTGACAAAAATTAAAACCCTTGTCTGCCCTTTGCCTTTCCCCAGGCCCTGAAGTGTTCCTCTCACTGTAGGGGCCAGACTCTGTACTTGCAAGCTCTACAGAGGCTGCTGTGGGGTAGCTGCACTGACCTCAGACAGATTTTCCTAAAATGTACTTTGATCTTACCGTTCTCCCACTCGGAAGCTTTCCACAGCTCCCTCTTGGCTATAGGCTAAAGTCCTCACTCTCGTACAGGCGCCCCGTCCACTCAGTGCCGAGGAGGCCTTCACCCACAGTGCCCTCCCCGCCCCTCCCCTGCCAGCTCTCACTCATCCTCTAAGACCAGCCCAGATGTTGCCAGAGCGGGTTAGGTGCCCCTCGCACGGGCCTGCCTGTATCTCAGCACTCCTTATGCTCTTTCTGTCATAAGTGATCATTCACGTCTGCCGAGACCGTCAGAAAAACTCGCCATCCAGCAATGCTAAGTTCATTAGACCTACTGCAGTAAGGGAGACCCCAACTTGACAGAATCTCCGTAGTGTCTCAAAATGGAGAAATTAGGGAAGGTACTTGGAGGGTTTTGGGGTCCAAGCTGGGTGATTTTAAGGTGGGTCTTTCAAGGCGGGAAACTGGTTATGACATAATAGCTGTGGATTGGTGAGCAGAGCCAGGTAAGGGTCTTCAGTGGGTCTTGATGAGCAAGCAAGTCTTGGTAAGTAAGTTGTTTAGTTGGTTTACAGCCTTATCTTGCAGGAGCAGGTATTTCCGGGAGCCAGCAGCTAGTTGTTTTTTACTTGGTCTCAGGATTGTCTAACAAAGCACCGGGAAAGTATGCCTGGTCCTGAAATTGTTTAACACAAGGACAGGGAATTAGGTTGGTTTCAGTTCTCCCTGCCAGTCCTGTTAAACCGAGCTCCAGAAGAGCAGAGACCAAGACACAATCTTTCTGCAAACACTCACGCCTAGCAGAGCACCAGGATGTCGTCAGCACACAGCAAATGCTTATTGAACCTGTGCATGCATGAGTGTCAGCACCTCTCGGTGGCCCTGGGAGCCTCTGGGGAAAAGCAGCAATGGGAGAGTGTGTCTAACAAAATGCTGCCTCCGCCCTCACTGCTCCAGGTGGGGTCTGCTGAGCAGCGTCGGCATCCCCTGGGAGTTTGTGAGAACTGCAGACTCAGGCCCCTCCCCGCCTCTATATTAGGAAGCAGCCCGGTGACTGGGGTACACGTTAACGTCTGAGAATCAGAACCGTGGGCTTGGCTGCTTGTGGGAGCCACTCGAGGTTCTGTTCAGCAAGCGTTCACGGAGCTCGTCCCCCGTGCCAGGCAGGCGTAGAGCCCTGCAGGAAGTGGGAGGCCTCCCCGATTTCGTACTCTGGAGGAGGACGGGCACATAACGCACAGCTCAAGGACAGTAAGGGTGTCAAAATGAACTTTTTTACCTCAGTACGGGAGAAATATTTCTGAGCTTGAATCCAGATTTAGCGAGATGTTTGTCTGCATGAGTGTTGAGGGAGCCTCCTTTTCCCGGTGGAACTTGAAGCATCTGAGTGACTGCCCCTGAGGGAAGTAATAATGACAACAGCACCCCTCCTGTGCTTTCCTGCGGGCAGATCCTGACGGCCAGCGGCGATGGGACGTGTGCGCTGTGGGACGTGGAGAGCGGGCAGCTGCTGCAGAGCTTCCACGGGCACGGGGCCGACGTGCTCTGCTTGGACCTGGCCCCCTCGGAAACGGGAAACACCTTCGTGTCTGGGGTAAAGACCCAAGGAAAATCTCTCGGGGTCCTTTGTCCACTTGGGAGCCTCACGACGGCAGTTCTCGTCAATCCATGGGACTAGACTGGGCACTTCCCCAGAAGGGGCCGCCAGAATTGTCCTCAGCTCGCCATTGCACCCGCAGCTCCTGCAGCAATGGCAGCACTTTGTGGGCAGTTACAGGGCTGGGCTGTGAGGGTATCCTGTTCTGCTACGGACATTCAGCAGTCTACAGAGGGGCCTGGCATGTTCTCCTGGTATGAATGCTGGGACTCCAGGTGCATATCTGCCACGTTTAAAAATGTTAGTTAAATAGCAGAGTTAGCATCTGAGAGCATTAGAGACAGCTGCAAGGTCACTGAGCAGGTCAGATGGCTGCTAAGGAGGGGCAACACAGTGGTGTGATCAGGGCTTTGGCCTGTGGGACACTCTCCCACCCCCCCACCCCTGCCACTTGCCATCCCTCTCCCATCCCAGGGTACAGGTAACAGCATATTTGAAGGCTCAGAGTAGTGCAGACAAGGCACAGAGGAGCACCAGACGAGGAGTCAGAATATCTGGGTCCCAGCTTGGCTACTGACTCTAAATTTCATCATCTGTGAATTGGGGATAATGCACACTAGTACTCCCCCCGCCACCTTCCCCAGGATACTATGAGCAGTGGATGGAAGAGTTTACAATGTGTTATGCAAACAGGAGGGGTGAGTATTTCTGTGGACAGCGGGGAATAAGAGGGGAGAACGGAGCTGGCTGACCTGACCCCGGGTCCTGTTGCACCTCAGTCAGGAGACTCTGGTGAGAGAGGACGGTCACACACAGACTGTCAATGGCTTTTGCAGCTGGAAGACAGAAAGGGTCCTTTGCTCCGAACTGCCCACCTCTCAGTCCTGGGCCTCAGGTGAGGGCTGGGTGGCCTCTAATCAGCAGGGACCCCGATTTTCTTCTTGAGTATTTGGCCCCATCTGTCTATGTTTCATTCCTGTGCCTTTGTATAATTGTATTTATCCCTCGTCAACTACACTGTTTTTTCAAACTGTTGATGGCCTTGTAGATTATATTGTCTCTTTCAGAGCACTAAACTCCGTCGGCTTTAGTGTCTTCTAAAGATTTGAAGACACTCCTGACTCCTTTGTCCACGTTCTCAGTAAAGATACTCAGAGTTCTGAACCCCCGCAGCGGGTCTCTCTCAGATCCAGTTATGGTACTTCACCCCACCCTTTGCTGAGTTGAAACCAACAACTTGGACACTAATTTTAAGCCACTGCTTCTTCTAGTGGACTATTGAAGGTCTACCTTACACTGCCCAAGCTTGGTAACAGGACTGCTCTGCAGGGATTTGTCACACTGCCCCTGGAACCATGATAGGATAATGTGAGACCTGGTATTTAGGACTCTGGGTCGTGTTGGCAGCCCAGAGAGAGTGCTTCCTTTACAGGGTGAGGCAGAAGCCCAGGAAGGTGACTTGCCTAAGCCACCCAGCTAACTACTGGCAGGGCCACAACTAGCTCCGAGTTTGCCGAGTCCCAGCCTGGCATGCTGCTGGGGGTGCAGATGGCCCAGGGGCACCTAGCTCTCCGCCTTTGCTCAGGGCTGCCCATACACCTGAGACAAAGCTGGGGGGGTCTCAACATGTAGCATCTGTCTGCCTGCCTACCCCCCTGGGCTTAGGGAGGCAGAGATAAAGAGGAGGGAGAAAGGAAGGGACAATGAAGAGGGGGAGATGCCCAGGAGAAAGGTGAGAAGGAGGCTGTGGAGAGTTTGCACCCACTCAGAAAGGTGGGAAAGAGGAAAACATGCTAACGGGACAAGTTGGGTGCCTTCCCCTGCTCCCCCAACTCCAAGACCTGTTTCTGGCCTTCCTAAGGGCTTATCAGTTGAGGAAAGTGGCCTTAGGGGAAGCTAATCTCAGAAGAGCATGTTGTCAGCCATTTACTAATGGGAAATAAACAGTCTCGGTTACATGACTGGAACTCATGCCTGTCTATAGACAATCCTTGCACTGGCCATAACTCTGGGTAACTTTGCATTTGTAGGGATGTGACAAGAAAGCCATTGTGTGGGACATGCGCTCTGGCCAATGTGTGCAGGCCTTTGAAACACACGAATCTGACATCAACAGTGTCCGGTCAGTGAGTAGAATGTTCACGTTATTCTCTGTTCTCCAGTGTTCCCTGACCTGGAGTAATACTTATCCCAAGAACCACCTCCAGGCTCAGTTTACTTGGCTGAGACAGGCCTTCCCAGCAAGAATGGCTGATTTGTGGTAGGACTGGACAGCACTCCAAATCTCTTGGAGAATTTTAATTTAATTGCACTAGGAGCAATTGATATTATCCTCCCTAAATCAAGTCAGTATTTCTCATTCATTCATTCAACAAATATTTATTGAGTACTTATATGCTAGACATTATTCCAGGAACTGGGAATACAGTTATGAACAAGATAGACAAGGTCTCTAGTCTCCTACAGGAGACAAACAAGAGAAAGCAGAAATAAACAAATGTACAGTTTAAGATACTAATAAATGAAAAAAGTAAAATGGGGAGATGTGATGAGATGGGTTATTTCTTAGAATGGTCAGGGAATGCCTCTCTGAGAAGGTGACATTTAAATTGAGGCCAGGATGATGAAAAAGCCAGGCTTGCAAAGAGCTGGGGGAAGATGAGATGTTAAGACCCTAACAAAAGGCCAGAGAGTTGAGTTGGAGGGGTGGCTAACACGATCTATGTTTTGCCTTTAAAAGATCTCTCTGGCTGCTATGTGGAGAATAGATTGTAGGGGACCAAGATTGGTAGTATGACAGCTAGGTAGAAGGTTATTGTGTGAGCTGAAGAAAGAAATGACAGTGGCTGGAACCAAAGAAGACACAGTGAGGACAGAAATGTCTAGAATTGAGAAGGGTATGAGATTTTTTACCCTCGCTGCAAGCTATCAAGTTAGGCTGCCACAGTTTCGTGGATGCTGGTAGAAGTCACGAGACTTGTGGGTTAGAGATAAAGGACAGTTTATTACTCACAGCAATGGCAACAGCCAGGGTATCAGCATTTTTGTGCTGGTTACCTGAGCCCCAGTTCCACAGGGTAACATGTAAGGGCTAAATGACACTTGCCTTGCAAGGGATTGCATTACAGGAGAAGAACCCTGAGCTTAGGGAACCCAAATCTTTTTTAAGGGGCAGTAAGCAGTGATCCACTCACTAAGACAGGGAAGACTGGAGGCAGTGCAGGTAGGAGGCAGTTGTTGCACATGGATTCTGGAGCTCTGTTCTGGGAAAGTTTGAGATGCCTATTATAAACCAAGTGGAGATGTCGAGTAGGTAGCAGGATCTCTGAACTGGGTCCCGAGAGAGATCAAGACTTGACATTTAAATTTGGAAGATGATACTGTCTAGACAGTATGTAAAGTATAATCACCCAAGAGTCATTATACTTAGTGGGAAACACTAGACTTGTTCCCCTTAAAAGCAAGAACAAAATAAGAATACTTATTTACTTTAGTAGTAGAAATATTAGTAAGAATTGTCTAGCTCCCTGCCCTCAAATGTGGGATAAGGGAAAAAACTATCAGTTTTTGCAAATGTGCAACAATTACCTAGAAAATCAAAAGAAATCAATCCAGAAATTACTAGAGGTAGTAAATGAAGTTAAGATGCAGGAGAGAATATAAAGCACAAAAGTAAGTTAAACCCCTATATGTTTATGAAATACAGCTTAAAAATGCACATTCTCTCACCTAAGCTTCTCTCGACCCTGAACCCTCTTCCTTTAATGTCTGTTGTTCCATCAGGTCTCAACTTGGGCTTCCCTCTCTCCAGGAAGCCTGACTCTTGAGAAGAGAATGACTATAACAATAATAATCATCATTTAGTGAATGGTTTTTTTATTTGGCACCATGCCAAATTCTCTGCATATTACTGTCTTGTTCAGTCTTTACAATAGGAAATGTACATTATCACCTTCATTTTCAGATGAGGAAACTGAGGCTGGGCAAGGTGAAGTCACTTGCCAAAAGTATCACATGTAGTAAGTGGCCATTGCAGAGATCCACACATGGCTCTTTCTGATTCCAGTGTCTGTGTTTATAACCACTTTCTTATCCGTGCGCTAAGTCTGGGGAATAGGCTATGTGATCAAGGGAAAATATGGTTATGGGGGGACTGCTCTGGGTTCAGTGCCTAATGCAAATGCACATATTATCTCATTTCCTTCTCACCAACACTCTGCAAGGCCAGTGTCACTCTCCCCTATTTACGGGGAAGAAAACTAGAGGCCATTGGGCCTGTCAGATGAGCCTCCCTTTCTGGCCTCTGTAACTTGTCATCCTTGTGTCCTTAGAAGTGGAGATTCTGATTCCGGGGGCCTAGCATGGGACAGCATTCCCACATGGTTCTGATGGGCATCCAGGGTTGGGAATCACCACTCTCAATTAAAGTGCTTTCTCCCCAAACTTTCTCTCTGCAGATATTACCCGAGTGGAGATGCCTTTGCTTCAGGATCAGATGATGCTACGGTATGTTTCTAAGTGATTGTGAGCTTTTCCTATTTAAAAGAGAGATATGCTGACTTAATTTTACTTTTTTTTTTTTTGTGAGGAAGATCAGCCCTGAACTAACATCCATGCTAATCTTCCTCTTTTTGCTGAGGAAGACCAGCTCTGAGCTAACATCTATTGCCAATCCTCCTCCTTTTTTTTCCCAAAGCCCCAGTAGATAGTTGTGTGTCATAGTTGCACATCCTTCCAGTTGCTGTATGTGGGACACGGCCTCAGCGTGGCCGGAGAAGCAGTGCGTTGGTGTGCACCCGGGATCCGAACCTGGGCCGCCAGCAGCGGAGCGCGTGCACTTAACCACTAAGCCACGGGGTCGGCCCTTAATTTTACTTTTTAAAAATAACTTTTTTTTTCTGATTACAGAAGTAATGTGTATTCAATGAAGAAAACTTGGGGAAAAAATTAAATTACCTCAATCTCTATACCAAGGAAAAATCACAATTGGGTGAATTCCTTTCTGTCACTTTTCTTTTTTTTTTTTTTTT